TTTTTTTTTTCTGGAACCAGGGATTGAACTCAGGCCCTTGTGCTTGCCAGGGAAGCACTTATTCCACTGAGACATCTCCCTGGCCCCTATTTATTTGTTCTTGTTCTGTTTTCCTAATGTGACAGTTCATTGCTGTAAATTTCCCTCTGAGAACTCCTTTCATTGCATCCCGCAAATTCCAGTAAGTTGTGCTTAAATTTTTGTTGGACTACAGATATTGTCTTAATTTGTTCTTTAATTTCATGTGTGACCCACTGGCTGTTCAGGAGGGTGCTATTTAATTTCCATGTGTTTATGGGGTTGTTGCAGATTCTTTTGACAATAATTTCCAGTTTCATTTGCACTATGATGGGACAATGTGCATGGGATGATTTCATTTCTCTTGCGTTTACTTAAGCATGTTCGATGGACTAGAGTGTGGTCTATTTTTGAGACTGTTCCATGTGCACCTGAAAAAAATGTATATTCAGATGTTGAGTAGAACAGTTTAAATAATTACTAAGTCCATTTATTCAAAGGTTTGATTTAGTTCTGCTACCACTTTGCTAATTTTTTCTTTAGTTGAGCTATCTCTTTGAGACAATGGGGATTTTTTGTGTTCTTTAAAATTTGTGATACAGCATCCGCCACCAGTGGGTGCTTCCATATTAGGAGCTTACATATGTATGATTGTTTTCTCCTCCTCTTGAAGTTTTCCCATAACAAGTATGTAGTGATCTTCTTTATGTTGTTTGATCATTCTTGGTTTGAAGGTTACATTGTCGATGAACAGAATAGCTACACCTGCTTTTTTCTTAGTTCTTGATGCATGGAGTATTGCCTCCCATCCTCTCACTTTCAGCCTGTGAATTTCCTTTTGAATTAAATATGTTTCTTGTATACAGAATATTGTTGGATTTTGTTTCTTGATCCATTCTGCCAGTTTATTTTAATTAATTTGCTATGTATTGCCTTATCTATGTCATGTTAATTTCCTGCTGTTGGTTCCCTTCCTTTCCCATGTTTAAATGCTTTGCTCTTCTTGGTGATTTCTTTTTGTTGTTGTTCAAGAAGTTGAGGTCATCTTGATCCCTTTCTAGAATATCTTTCAGCATTCTTTGTAGAGTTGGTTTGGTGATAATGAATTTCTTTAGTTGTTTTTTATTGTTGAAGTATTGTACTTCTCCATTAATCTTAAAGATAGTTTTCAGGTACATCAATATGGGTTCCAAGGCCGGGGAGGTGGCTCAGTGGAATAAGCACTTCCCTGGCAAGCGCAAGGGCCTGAGTTCAATCATCAGTTCTGAAGAAAAAAAAAAAAAAAAGATTAAAAATATGGGTTCCAAGTTGTCTTTCAGACATTGAAACACTTTAAGCTCCTCTTGACTTGATGGTTTGTGGTAAGAAATCTTGTGATTGTGATTAGATTTCCATTATTACTGATCTGTTTCTTTTCTCTAACAGCTTTTAAAATGTTCTTTGTAAATTTCTGGTATCTTGTTAGATGTCTGGGTATGATTTATTTTGGTTGGTGCTAACTGGAGTTCGATATGCCATACTTACCTGTATGTTTCATTCTTTTCCCATGCTTGGGAATTTTTCTGCTATTACTTCTGCAAATAGTCTTTTTATGTCATTTGTGTTGATTCCTTCTTTTTCAGTTACAACTGTGAGTTTTATGTGCTCATCTTTGTATTATTTTGGAGCTGTTGAATTATTATTGTCTAGTTCCTTATTTTTAAGAGATCTTTCCTTTCCTGGTTCCTATCTACAAGGATGTCTTCAAGGACTGAAAGTCTATCTTCAGTTTCATTCAAATTGTTTTTCAGCTTTTAATGGAATTTTTAATTTCCTAGATATTTTTGAATCTGTTTCATACATTCTATTTCTTTCCTGTATTGTTCATTCAAGGTTTCTATCATTTCTCCATGCTCTTCTTTTCCTTTCATCAATGGTTACTTTAGATATGCTGAACAATTCTTTCATTTCCTGTTATACCTGCGCTATTGCTTATCTTATTTCTGCTACATCTGCCTGGAGATGTTCCTTCAGTTGCAAACATTTCAAGGATTTCAGTTGTGTGACTTCCAGTTTCTTCCATGTTGATGTCTCCTGGACTTGTTCTGGGTGGGCTGGTAGCCTGAGATTGTATTTTACTCCTTTATCTTCTCATTTTACATTTCAGAAAAAAAGTCTTCATTTTGATTTCTGTGATACTTTTTGTTAAATTTTCATAGTAATTAGTTATATCACAGCTGTCAAGGCCACTCTAGGAAGAGTCTGTTCTTCAGGGATATCTTCTGTGTGTCTGAGATTCTTGATTTCTTTCTGTCCAAAGATCCTGCATTTCCAATTAATTGAAAGTGGGATTTTGCTTTCCATTGGGCACCATCCTCCATCTTTAGATGTAGGGCTATGATGAGGTTATTACCCAGTGCTTCCCAATATTGTTACACAAGGGAGAACAAGCAGTTAGAAAAGATATGATATCCTAACTACAGTAGTACAATTAGCAATTATGACAACATCAAGTGAAATTCAGAAATTGACAAACTTGGTAACTATTGGTTTTTTACTTTAGATCATGGGAGCAAAGTCTATAGCTACATAACAGAACCAATCATAAATTGAGAGTTTGTATGTAAAGTGTTTCCCCTTGTTAAAGTAGATTTACCCCGTGTTCCTTGGCCAGGTCAAATACCAGGCTCCAGGGGCTTCACTTCATATAGGGTGGTGGGCCAGGCACCTGAATTCCTCTGGCCAATCCAGTTGTCCAGGGTTCTAAGCACCACTGAGTTAGCCAACCATCCCCAGTGCAGTAGGATTTATTCAGTTTAAGAAAACAAACATTGTTAGTTTTTTGTACAAAAGTTTGTTTCTCCACAAAGGATGTCCACAATGATCCTTTTGAAATAGTGCCATCATTAATTTTTGCTCATGAATGTAAAGTAACACAGTGTGTGGAAAAAATTAAAATTAGGAGTCTGTCATGCTGTCATAATGGTACATTCCTGGTACCTCAGCTACTAAGAGTGAAGGCTAATGAAAAATAACAGTTTAGTCAACTTCAACAAATTCTTGAGACCCAGACTCAAAACAATTTTTTTTTAAATTTAAATGGTAGAGTGCTTCTCTAGCATGCACAAGGCTCCCAATTTTCAATACACCCAGCACTGAAAACACAAACCAAAAGAAAGAATCACTGGGAAAGCACACATATTACTACTTGTTGAACATACGAAGAAGGTAGGTAAGGGGACAAAAATAAATGAAGTAAATCTAACAGTCCAATATACTGCAAGTACATTGTTAGAGATAAATTCATACACATATACATAGAAAGAGGTAAGAACTTTGAGCAATTTAATTTTCTAAATTATATTCATACTTACAGAAATCTTATCTCTCAGGCAAATGAAAACTCTACTTACTTAAGACATCAGTATCTTCTAAGTCCTGAAGAATGAATTCTTCAACAGTTTTGCTTGAGTTCTTTATGGTGTTAATACAGTGAATAACTGAATCTGATAACTCATCTTCACTCTAAGAGTTGAATGAAAACTATTAAAAGTTTCATAGTTCTTTTACTCTAAAAGAAACTATGAAAGAGATGATTATAAAAATATTATCTCAAATATAGCAATTTACTCCACAATAAAAATTTGAGTAAAATGTGCAAATGAAGTAAAATGGCCCTGTATATAAAGTTTCACTCAAAAAACATATTTGGTTAAAATTCGGTGCTTAATTATCAGGTGGTGGTGCAGTTCTAGAAAAATGAAAGCAAATAAGTTATCTATACAAATCTGTATTAGCTTCATTACAGGCTGTATATTCTTAAACAAGTTCAATACATTTTTACATTTTAATATTAATTACAAGTTCAAATATTACAAACTAGTAATCAAAATTGCAGAGAATTTTTAAAAATATTCAGTGCCTAAACTTATATAATTATTTAACGCACTATGAAAATTACTTTGTGGTTAACAAAAAGCTAGTGAAAAGGTAATCAGCAACAGGAAAATAATGCACTTGATCTTAACCAAAGGATGAGAAGTGACAGCGACAGAAAAATAATGGAATTACGGGAACAAGTTAATACATTTCAATAAAAACTCTCAAAGTAAATAGTTACAATTCTCCAATCAAAAGACTCAGACTCCTGTGCAGCGGGACCAGTCCCTGCCCAGGCGCAGCATTGGCCAGACCCTCTCCCACCCCTTGGGACGCCCGCCACCTCTCTGCAGACCTCCCCCACCCGCCCGACAAGTAGGAATTTCTGCCTCACCGGGAACCCCCAGACCCAGTCCTAGCCCAGATCCTGTGAGTGTGTGGGAAAGCTTCCTCTTCCCCCTACTTCAACTTGACCCCTCCAGGCACAGCTCAGGCCTCGCATACACGCCTGGGGTGTAATCCTGCAGCTGCAATCCCTGCAGAGAGTGTAGAGGATAGATCCAACAAGCTAGTCCAGGAGCAGAACATCTTGCCGAGGAGCACAACAGGTTCACCCTCCAGGGCAGCAGCGGGAAGGAGCTGAGCACAGCAGCCAGACCCAAGACAGACACAGCTGGATAAGTCCAAACTTTGTAGAGCTGCACCTGAACTTCAGTACATGCGAAGGTTATAACTACAGCAAAGATCTACAACAAAGGGCAGAAGACAGTGCTATACAAAATGACAAGAAGGAACAAAATGCAACCTGAGAAACCAAGCCCACCTGTAACAAGTGCAGAGGACACTAACACAGAAAAAATGGGAAATCACATAGCTGAAAGCAAAGAATCAATGGCTTCTGAAATAAAGAAACAGCTGCAGATTGGAAATCAAAAAAGAAATCCCAGAATTAATAACATCTGCACTAAAGAATTAAATGCAGAAACATATGGAAGAAACCCAGTGCCCACCCAGAACAAGTGCAGAGGACACTAGCTTGGCTCAAATGCATGAATTAATAGCATCTATAGTAAATAAGCAACAGCAGATATACAGGAAATCAGAGTGCAATTCTTTTCTGAAATAAAAAAAGAACTCTCAGAACTCATAGCAGATGAAGTAAAGAAGCAACTACAGAAACATAGGGAGGAAACCCAATCTGAAAAAAACACTGCTGTAAAAAAATTTACAACTGCTTCTAAAGAAGATATTGATAAAAACATAGAGGAGATTAGAAAAATGACGGATTTCTTGAATGAGCAGTACAGGAAAGAAATAGATCGCATGAAGCAGAGTCAAAGAGATAAAGAAGAAATTAAAATCTCAATCACAAGATTGCAAAACTGTTTAAGTCAATGTGAAGACAGAGTTTCAGATCTTGAAGATGCTGGTGCAGCTAGTGAAAAGGTAAGAAAAGATCTCTTTAAAACAACGAGCATGCAGGAAAGAATAATCCATCACCTGCAAGATGATGCAAAGATGAACAATGTGAGAATAATAGGCATCAATGAGAAAGAAGGAGTCAACACAAATG